TTTATATTTTAATAACGTGTCGGAACTGTATGTAGTATTGTGAAAATCTTCCGAACATATTATTATAGTTGAGCACCTAGGTAGTTTAACTGTTGGGCGTTTAAAACGTTTCGAACACAGGGACTCGTTTGTAACGTAATGCGGTGTGGCCGCGCAAGACCTTTGTCCGGAGGAGGACGGGCGTCGGCGTATAAATATAGTGATCTGTACCTAACTCTGCGCGCCGTGACCTTTTCCGTCTGGTCACCGACGCCGTCGTGACCGGTCTTCCACCGCTGCCGCCGCCATCGCCAAGATCAAGGCCGGACGTCGGATGTCGAGAGCGCGGACCGGTTGTCGTCCTGCGCGTCCGCCGTCGGTGGTCATCGCCGTTTTTCATTGTGCGAAACCGTTTGCGGAGCCGACACAAAGTCGACCGAACGGGTCCCGAGTTAACGCTGCGAGACGGCATTAAATCCGTGTACACAGCCGAGACGTTATCTGTACAGTCTGTCGTGCGGCGCACGTCGCAATAAAAAAAAAAATTACATTCAGGAAAAACAAAATCCGGGAGGGGGTGGGGAGTAAAGCGTCGCGGGCGTTTCGTCCGCCGTCGTTATATGTATAGGTGCGCCACGGGTACTGCCACGGCCGCAGGACACCGACCATCATCACGATAGGAAAGCCGCTGATGATTAAGAAAACGAGAACGAATACGACGCACGAAAGGTACGCGACGATAAATTATCGCCGAAGAAACGCGATTCTTAGCAGAGTATATCATTAATCGTATATTTTTTTTTCACTTGTTGCCAAGTTAGCCCGAAAAATCCACAAAAGTTATACAACAGTTTGCTGATTTTTCAAGTTTATCAAAAAAAAAAAAAACTACTAGGAAAGTCCAAGAATAACCACCCCCCAAAAAAGACGAACATACTTCATACATGGGTGCAGCAACTGTTGTAGGTGGAAAGTTGGGAAGGTAGGATACAAACAAGAGTTTAATATATATATCTGTAAGCAACGATAAATAAACCGTTGCTAACGGAAACACGGTTCTTAGCGGAAGTTAGTTGATAGAGTTGCTTTGTCAATAATATATGAATATGTGTCTAATTATGGTAAAATGATTAAAACAATGTGCGCTTCCATGACAACAATGATTGTTTGAAAAAGATTAAAATAATAAAAACTTAATAATAACAAAAAATATATAAAAAAAGTTGTCAATGGCAACCATATTTTTAATCTTTTAATCTTTTTTAATCTAAATAACCAGATTTTCATCATTATCCCGAATAATAATACAAATTTCAAAAAATGAACCCTCAAAAAGTACCACCCACATGGCATTTCCTCTCAAAAAAAATGCTATAGTTAATGACCCGAGTATAGTCCATTCCGCCAAATTTATTTTTCGTGTAACTTAACACAACTTATAAGTTACAAATTGCAAAAGGTGGCAAGTTATTGGGAATAATTAACTGTTGAAAGTTAAGTTGATTTGATTAAAATGTTTTCAGTTTAAAAATTAAAAGTTAACAAATAAAAAGCTAAGCTTGATAAGTTTAAAGTTAAGATGGAAAATAAAATTAACTATACTTAAAAATAAGTTAATTATTTTTTTCAAGCCATAATATTAATGTTATAAATTGCTCTAGCATTTTGATTTACACAATTATTATAATATCAATGATAATAGGGATTACCTATCAACAATTATTGTTTCGATATTTATTTCGATTATAATATTATGCAGTCTCATACGTTTATTGAGTTCATCTATTGTTTTACTAATCACAAATTCAAAATTATGTTTTAAAACAAAAATAATTTGAGAATTATGCGGCAAAATGGGATCCGACCAAACATGGTTGGGTAGGATATTAATTGTTTAAATCACCAAAAGGCACATCAACGATGCTTATATCCTGCATTTAAAAAATGTAATCCCTTTGGCTTCGTTTTGGGGGTGTACAGTGGAGTACATTTTATGAAAAAGACCATCCTCTTGCAACAATATGGTGAAGGTTACCTTGAAATTCAACCAAAATTGTATTATTTCAATCCGCCTATAAAAAAAAAAACTCAAATTCCCCAGTTTGAGCTCTTTTGATCCCGGGGAAACCGCTAAATAAATGTCCAAATGTAACGCAGATAAACAAAAACACAATACAGTGCGACGCTCGACGGTCTCCATTTTCTGGAAAAATTCAACAAAAACACGCATCACAGTAAAACCAATAGGTGAAACATTCTTTAGCTACGCTCGGAATTTAAAAAAGCCAAATAGTGATATGTATACAATTCACCGTGCGCTTCGGTCTAAAAAAGAGTTTGTCGGCTATGAATAGTTGTAGCCCGGCAACGGTATGCCGAAATTATTGTCGTCTCCGGGTATACAGAGTGTGATCAAAATAACATGGGTCACATTATCTCGAAAAGTATTAACTTTTTCAAAATTTTTTTTAGCAACATTTAGGAAAAAAAGTTGCTCTAAACTGTTACATTACACTATTTCGTCACTCTTATTTTAGGAGGCAAAATCACTATATATTTTTGATTTTAAAATGGCAACCAATATAGGTCCTATTACATATTCCATATCAATATATGAATAATTAATTTAAGTCAATTTTGGTGTTTATACTGAAACTAATACTTCATCTGTTTATGGAATTTTCAATATAGGTTTTTTTTTATTATTATTGTCTAAAAGCTTCGCCTTGTCGCTGCAATCAATCCTCTCCTTTATCTGCTAATCTTTTCCTCGTAACTTGCTAGAGTTAGCAGCTTCTTCATATTTTTTAGATTTATTTCCCTCGGCCGCCTCTTCCTCTTTTCCCATTCATCTTCCCTTCCACAATTTTTGTAATAAACGTGTAGGTTGACATTTTAAAATCAAAATATGCGTAGTCGTTTAGTTTCCGAAAATAAGAGTGAAAAAAAAATAACCATATAGAGCCGTTTTTGAGCTATTTATTTCTTAAAAACCAAATTCCGAAAAAAGGTCGAACTTTTCGAGAAAATCAGTGTTTTATTTTATGTTGATCGCCCTGTAAAGTATTATAAGCGCGTACACAAATATTATTCGATTGATTTTTTCAATTGGCCGCACGTGGCTACACACGATTCGATTTCAATCAGGTTAAAGAACGGACAATGTAATATTATATACAATTAATAATATAATTATTTTCGCATTGTAACGAAACCGATTGATTTCAGCCGGCAGAAAATCTAATATAAAATTATATCGCTTCGGGTCATAATCGATGATATTATACCGTATGATCGAATAACGGATTTGAGAAAGCGCGCGAGGGCATAGGGGGAAATTGTTCCCTCTTCTATTCCTCATGGATTATGAGGAAACACCGTTATCGGACGAATTTCAATTGCTGAACGGAGCGAAAATCTTCCAAAACACTCGTTACACCGTGTGTACCATATAATACGAAGATTTTCGGCCCTGCGAACAATTTCTCTTTATTACATTGCCAACGGTTTGTACTATCGTTATTCGGAATATTTGTCCGAATTTCGGGCATTTTTCGGTTAAAATTTTCGATCAGTTTTCAGTAAATTTTCAACCATTTTTCAATTTTATCGAGATTGGAAGGGTGTTCAAATTATAAGTTTTAGAGTTTATAACCTCTATAAATTATATTGTAAGAATTGCCGACACGGTTTTCTGGTCGTATTTCCAATACGCGATTGTCAACGTTATTTACCTATGCATTATACGAGTATATACGAGTACCTAGTTGTAAATTTCACCTAAATTTTAGATTCTGAGTGGAACGAAGACGCTTATAGTTTTACAAAGATATTTATTTATTTATTTTTTTTATCGGTGCGAAACTTTTCTACCAGCAATATTGCTCCGATTTACAATAATAGCACTTCTTCAAAGGAAATCTGACTGGAGAGGTACTTTTAAGACGTCGTTTTTCGGTTTTCCCTGGAGTTTTCCCAATAAATGGAAAGAAACGGGAAAAACGGAAAAAACAAATTATATTATTAAAGAAAATATATAAAGCCTATTTAAAATTATTTTACTATAATATAACATATATATATATGTATATATATATTGTTGACAAAGCATCCACTATCAACAGAACTTCGCTCAGAATCGTTTTTTCGTAAATAATGGTTTATCGTTGCTTATAGATATACATTAAATTACCTATTCTGAACGCGCAACGAAGAATTTTTTTCTCGGAAAACGCTTTTTGGGGTTTGTAAAAATGTTCCGATTTTCTACGTCGTTATTTAAAAGATGCGTGTTGTTTTTAGTTTTTTACCGGTTTCGAACATCTTTTACCGATTCATTTTTATTCCGTTCTCTTCTAGCAATAAAAGATATGCGATAAAGACGCGCGGTGGAAAACGCCGATTCGGTATATATTTCGTAGCCAACTGTCGGTTTCTTCCCGAGGATATTTTCGGGCGGCATCTCGTCTTGTATGAAAAAAAAAAATAAAAAAAAAAAGAGTTCTAGTAAACCCGATAACTGTGGCCATCGAAAAACCATCATGGTATAATATTTCACGTGTAACCTTATAGTAATTATAAAATCCGGTACGTTTCGGTGCACTCGATCGCCGGCGGCCCAGGGTCGAGGACCTCCGACGATCCGAACGATGACTCTCAGCCACCGACGACGGAGTCACGGCCAATAATCGTCCGTCGGCTTTGCATCTATTTCGATAAACGGTATTTTCGTTATTGTATTATAATGCATTAATTGTATTGATGCACCGAATATAATAGACCAAACGATAAATCTATTTAATAATATTTGTTTTGATTGTCCACATGTTTCTAAAACTCTGGAATTTTTCCAGTATGCTGTTAAAATCATAGTAAAAACCATGAAGTAGACACCTACCGACATAACGAAATTAATTTCTTTGGGACACACACACACACGCACACCAGTAACCACGATAATCATTACCACCTCGGCCCGTGGTTATACTCCAGAGACTATGTAACATAAACGAACAACGGTGTTGATGTATGCACTAAAATGCGTATAAGTGAGTACTTTATTTGATTTTGTGGCAATAAAGCGTTACAAAAAGTAAATAAATAATAATAAATTATAATATATCGAATAATAAAAAAAAAAAGTCAAGTGTTCGCGGAATCAAGTGGGCAGTGGTGCGCAATCATTTCTTCTCGTTCGAGGCTTTTGGCGAATCGGCTGAGATCGAAGCGGATGCGGTGGACGGCGAGCTGCTGTAGAACGACGGGTACTGGAACTGCTGGGACGGGCTATACTGCTGGGACTGGAACTGTTGGGACGGGCTGTACTGTTGGCCGGCACCCGCGGTGGCAGCGGCGGACGCGGAGTTGTACTGCTGGTGTTGCAGGTACGGGGCGGAAGAGTACGGGGTTGAGGAATACGGCGCGGCCGACTGTGAACCCGCGGCGCCGAAGTGGCTGCCGTACGGTGAGGCCGACGGAGCGGCGAACTGGCCGTTATACGACTGGAAACCCGCGGCGGGATATGGCGAGTATGACGAGCCGCTGTGGTACGGTTGGGCCGGGTACGCCGGGTAAGCGGAATACGGGGTCGGGTAAGAGGCCGACTGGGACGCGTACGGGGTCGGGTAATGTCCGGCGACCGATGGATAGCCGGAACTCGCGGGGTAGTATTGTTGGTACGGTCCGAAGTTGTATTGTTGTTGCTGGTAAGGTAGCTGGTAGGCGCCTGCGGAAAAAAAAAACCAAACGAACCCAGATTCAATTGAGATCCAGTGTAAAGTCCAACAATATGTATAGTATCGGCTAATACTATTACTATGCTATACTATCTATTTAGGCTGATATTGCTGACGGGTACGCTACTTTTTAAGCAGGAAAATCGGTAAGGTTAATGTACATATGTCCTCGTCGATAAATAATTGCCAACGAAAAACAATAATTTCCCGGCATTATTAGAGGTTTTTTTCACCCTGTTACCCGGGTAACCCGGAAATCAATCGAAATTCCGATTGATTCGGAAAACTGCGAAAAACGTAAGGAAAAAAATGACTTGTCCCAATGCGACGACTAGACGAAAAACGCTACAGAAAAGTACCCCGAATTAAAAGACGATAACGAAAAGATGCGATTTTGTATAGTTTCCTATTTTAATAGTTTAATCGTTTCTCGTTTCGTTTTCCGCATTTTTTTTTTTTTTTAGATTCGGGGCGTAGTGAGAATTTTATTGGTTTTACTATATTATTATTAATTTTTTTATATTTGTGAACAACTTTTGTACTAAAAATCTTGCTCCGATTTTCAACTGTAGTACCTTTTCTGAAATAAAATTTTTGTTGGGTGGTACTTCAAGGAAGCCATTTTTTAATTTTTCGAGTGGTTTTCATTAACAATCATGAAAAACCGGGAATGTACGCAGGGAAAAAAGGGAAAATGTACGTACACGTATAAAATAAACTTCGCTCCGAATCGATTTTCGTTATCAATGATTCACCGTTGCGTACAGCTATAAATTAAATTCCCCACTATATCCTACTTTCCCAACTTTTCACCTACGATGGCCCGCCCTTCGTGCGAAGTATGTCCGTAGTTTTTTTTTTTTTTTTTTTGGCAAACTACCCGAAACGGCCTTTATGATACGGGAGGACTTACTGTATGACGACGGGACGGCCGACTTCGGCGCGAACGCCGACCTGCCGAACGGGCCGCTATATTCGGACGCGAAGTGGTATCCTTGGCCCGGGAACGGGACGGCGACGGGCGCCGGCCCGGGGTAGGATACGGACGACGGCTGCACCGGGGACGGGACGGCGACGGCGACGGCGGACTTTGGGCCGTCTGACGGAGACGACGGACCTGCGGCCGCGGCCAACGCGACGGTCGCCAACACAGCGACTGCGTACGAAACCTGTGCAAAACGAACAAATACAATGTGGTCGTTATCGTCGATCGGTTTTATCCGGCGTTGGTCAAAAGATAGTTGTTAATCAATAATCTCAGGCGTATAATCGCTAGATTAATATTATTGTCTTCTATATAGATAAAAAAATAATCTTTTTATCCCATGGGTGAAAAAAAATAAATAACAACTTTAAATGCCGAAATCGTACCAGACACGGTATACACGTCTGTAGATTTCGAAAAGAGATTCAACGTGACTTGAAAATCGAATAATATATTCATCCGTTCTTTTTAACGAGCGGCGGGTACTGGTGTATTGATTACGATTTTAAAACATTATAATAATCTCGGATAACTTGTACATCCCGCATGAAAAGCATAGGCACAATAAGGGGGGGGGGCTACGGGTCTTAGACCCCACCCGAATATTTATCTAGCCTCGAATTATACGAATTGAATAGTAAGAGACATTTAATCGTTATAGAAATTAGAAAGAATTTTTTCGTATTTAAAAAAAACCCCAAAATTCATCTATATATTATTATTTTTTTAAAATGATTTCATCGATTCGTCGTGAATTATATTTCGCTAATCCGAAAATTAGCCCGCATTAATAACTTTGTGTTTCGGTTATTATCAATGTCGCGCATTCCATAAAACAAAAACAAAAAAAAAAAAATGTTATTTTTGAATATCGAAAGAGATGTAACTACAATAGCCTGGACGCGAAAACAATTATTGATCAATTTACAGCGACCAATAGAAGATTAGTATTAGTTTAATAATATTTTATAGGACTGATAAACTGATGTATAGTATTGTCGTCTATTAGTATATTAAAAGGACATTTTGTATTTGACGTAAAATAGTTGAATTAAAAATGTGTTCTATGGTATACAATGCGTTATGATTTATAATATTGATGGACGCGGGGGTGAAGCCGCCGCGGGCTGCAGGTGTGATACCAAAAAAAAAAAAAAAAAAAAAGTTCCCTTAAAAAAAAAAAAAATAGTTCCCTTACAAAAAAACATAAAACCCTAGTTGCGCCTATGAATCGACAACAAGACGAAACATATTCTCTGAATCGACGTGAAAACTGTAAACGGTGAACTTATCGCGCGGTTAATATTATCGACTGTCGTGCGATATTATCGTCGCGACGGCGGCTTTCGCGTTTCCGATATTGTTCTCGTCGTTGTTACATTTCTGCGAGTGTTTTTATTATTGTTTTTTTTTTTTATTATTTTTTTTTTTTCCCCCATTGCAACTGTGTCGAATCCGACCGGCTCGTTTTCGGCCTTGAACGTATTCGCGTGTGATGTAATTCGACGTACGAAAACTGTTCGATCAACGACCTCTCCGAAACGCGCGTACGCCGAACCGATACAATAAGTAATGCGCACGTACGCCCGCCCGAAATTCAATTGTTGTGACGGTGTACGCGCGTAATAGAAAAAGCAAAATAAAAAAAAACGACGATAATATTTTTATCAAACCCCGCGCAACGATAACGATAGTACGTTCCCCGTCGGTTCGCTATTTTTGTGGCGTTGCACGCGGACGAATGATTGCGTGCCGCCGGCGTCGTCGTACGCGACGTACCGTTTTCGGTTTTTCGGTAACGTCGTGGGCGTCAGTACGAAAATCCCGAGTGCACAACGGAAGTTTAAGGTCTCGGATTCGTGCGATTTTAACCGCCGCCGCCACCGAAAATAAAAAAAAACTCGCCGATCGTCGGTGAAATTCGCTACCGGAATAGACGCTGCACTCGAAAATCGAAACGAGATTTCCGGCAGAAATGGCGGACAGCAAAAAACAAAACAAAAAAGCGCACACATCGTATTGAGACCGGTACGTTCTTCGATGCGCTCAGAATGTAACGGATTTAAAAAATTGTACGCTGCAGCTGTGGGGGACCTTTTGAGAAAAAAACAAAAAAACAACATCACAATGGGACGAATATTGCGCGACATCGGTAAAATTATTCGACTTTCCGCATATATTATGCAGGTGCGACGCGCAGGGCGGTTCAATCAACTCGACTTATCGGACGGTTTTAAGTAAACCACGTTTCGATTTTCTATTCAACCGTTATGCGATTGTTCGGGCACAATTCCAAAGTGTTTTCCTCGGTTTCTTGTGCCTCGTTGACAACGAGTATATTTACATTTTTTTTTTTTTTTTTGATTTTCAAATGGCCCCTTTCAACACTGATCCGAAAAACTAATACTTTTCTCGACATTTTTACACGCATACACAGCGCGGTAATCTCGATTATTTTACCGTTTGTCACGATTATTGTTTACATTTCATACCGGAGGCGCGTGGGGAAGGGTTATAATATTATCTATTTTTAAACGACAACCTTACCCTACACCACCGGGGTGCATATCGAAAACTCGATAAAACTCGTAAATGACATACGCGTATGGTATCAAACGTTTTAGAAAAATATTATCTTATTGCATCCGCGTTGAAAAAGCGTAGCTATTTGTAAACCAAAAGTTTACGTGTGCGTTTGCGGCGTACGGAACGGGAGGGCGTGAGTGGGTAGGGGTGTAACATTTTGAAAATATTATAAAAAAAAAAAAAAAAAAAAAATCAAAAACACAAAGTTCTATAAATACTAAAAACAAAATCGATTTTACTCGAAATTTTTATTTTTGTAGATAAAACGATGGAAACGAATACAATCTGCCGTGTGGGCGCACGCGATTTTCAATTATTGTGTGCGCGAAAGATTATGCGGTTTTGCGATATTTATTTAAACGCGTTCGGGTGTGCAACAACACGCGAACGCGAAACCTAAAAGTCTCGTCGGGCCGCCGAGCTGAAAACATCGTAACACACAATATATTTACTTTACTCGGATTCGAAAACGACAAAAAACAGAGGAAAACTTACCTTCATGATGGCGGCTGACACGGAGACTGTAAGCGCAGTATATTCTGGAAAGTGCGGGTACTGCAAATACTATTATGCTTTCGAGTACGACAATATTGTGCGCCGAGTGTCGGCCGGTTCGTCCTTAAATAGCCGCTTGACGCGACGCATCGCGTAGGAGACGACGCGTAGGCCGAGACGGGGAAAAATAGAAGAAGAAGAGGAAGAAGACGTGGAATCATAGAAATAGAAGAAGTAGAAGTAGAAGAAGTAGAAGAATGGAAAAACGCGGAGCGGACCAAAAGCGGATCGACGGCGGTAGCGCGGCGGCGACGTACACGTGCGGACGGGGTACGCGTGACGGTAGCCCCCCGGCGTGACGAGAATTCCCCCCCCGCGGAAGAGGGGACGCGACGCATCCGATCGGTCGTTACTCGCGGGCTCGGAATCGAACAACCGGTCCGCCGTTTAACCGGTCGCGGGCTGTGAGCAAAGCTAAATAATAACGACGATATTGCATTGTACAAAGAAAAAAGAATAACGAACCAACACGGTAAAGTGGAAAAAAAAAAAAAAAAATGTAAACTATTTATTTTCTTGAAAAAACGCGTTTCACAAAAAAAAAAAAATCGCTAAAAAGTAAAAAATGCTAAATAAACTCTAAAGAAAAATATATTAGTTAAAATATTCGTTTTAATGAAAATCGTTTAAAAGAACTATTTCAAATAATTCGATATAAATTAAGAAAACCTAAAATTTGGTGAACATTAAAAAAACGAAAGAAAAGCACGGGACACCTGATGAAATACAGTCATTACTGATTTTTTCGCGATTATTATATTATATTCGCCTCTTCTAGACGTGGTAAAATTTTCAAAACATTTGATCCATTTTTAAACTGTTTATAGGCATTTAAATTTCGATAGTTTTTTTACGTATATTTTATTCGGCGAGTACCTACGTCTCACCGGATAAAATTATTACACCGAACATAAATGCTTGGCGATTTAACAGGAGGTACATAAATCGTACTTTGTGGTAAAAAAAAAAAAAAATCGAGTGTAATGCATTTAGTTTTTTTTTTGTTTTTTTATAAGGAGTTATAAATCTAATTTTGACGAAAATTACGACCTTTTAAAACATGTATATCCTGGAGTTCCTCTGAGAATAGTTTTTTTTTATTAGCAATGGTTAATTAAATCATTAAATCAGTAATGACTGTATTTCATACGGGGCGCCCGTGCTTTTCTTTCGTTTTTTTTTTTTTTTTTTTTAATATTCAACTAATTTTATATTTTCTTGATTTATCGTGCGATATGTGTCCGTCTTTTTTTTTTTAAAAAACAATTTGCATTTAATTTGTTTGTATTCGTATGGTTCAGCAGGTATATGCAATATTGTTAGTATACACATATTCGTGTTCGCGTTTACGCTCGCGAAAAATCGATTCGAGAACGGGCCGAGATATAAACGTCGTGCGAGTTCGATTACCTGCATGTAAAACCATAGTACCGAAGATACGATGACGAATTGACGACGACCTCGACGGCGAAGGGGTTAATTAAACTGCGCCTCTGGGGCCAAACGGTGATTTCGCGATATTAAAACGTTTTCCGTACAGCAGCCAATCATTATGAGATATCTGCGAAACCGCAGTCAATAGCTCCACTTTAATGTAACACCTGATATGGTCCGGACCGCTGTGGTTAAAAGTTTCGATAAACCCGATGTAATATAACCATCTCTCATCGTTGTATACAGAGTGATTTTTTCTTTCGTTGCATTACAACCGGTAATTTCCGATAAAATTTATTTTGGTTTTTTCGATCATTGTTATATTTTAATAGGTATGGAACGGATTTATACGCACTTAAAATCCACAAAACAGCTCTTAAAAACGTTTAAAAATCCCCGAAAAAAAAAAATTCAAAAATATTTTTAAAAGCAGAATTGATAGAGGGGTTTTTTTTCAAATCTCCTTTAACGGCTCTAACTTCCCTTATAATATATAAATTATAAAACAAAATCGTATAACGCTACAAATATTTTTTTTATTTAACCGGTACGTAGTTCTATTTTAAAAAAATAACCTTGTGTTAATCATGTTTCTAGTTTAATAAGTTAGAACTGTTAGACGAAGGACTTTTAAGTCATTCTATTATTTTTGCTTTTTAAAATATTTTTAAGTGTTTTTTAAACGTTTTCAAGCACTTTTTTGTGGATTTTAAATGCATATACATCCGTTCCCTATTATTAATATGATTGTTTAATGAAGATATTTATCAAAATTCCACTCTTATTCCGTACACCATACAAACATGTCCACGTTTTTTTTTTCAAATAGTAATAAAAGTCACCCATTGCTTTCAAACAAGTATTAGATTTATGGTTTATGAGATGTAACAGTTTAAAATTCAGACCGGAGTACTGAAGAATATTGAAGGTTTATTATCATTTAAAAATGAATATGCAATTTATCTTCTATTTCTTGTTTTCTTGTCGGTCTTCAGCTTCATATTAGATTCCTTTCCCTACAAGCAGCGTTTTGTGTAGCCTTGTCTGAGATATCTTTTCATCATAGAGTCGTTTTTATTAGATTTAATCGGTATTATTAGTGGATATAAAAAAAAAAAAAAAGGTGGTTCGGACCGTTATCGTTACCATATTCACATTTTCGTCATTTTTTATCCCCCGTTTTACAATATATGGTAATACCTGCTATTCTTCCGTGTTGAGACATCTTATCTGTAAATTGTGCTCTTTCATTTTATCATTCCATATGTAGTGGGGGATTTACAGAGGGGTCCAGGAGCTCCGAACCATCCCTAGATATTGATATAATCTCAGTAAATATCGTCCAAAAAAGAGGCGTCTATTAATAGGGATATCTTTTAAATACATATTATTTTTCAGGACCCCTTCCAGAAAAATGGTGAAAATCTGCTACTGTCCATACGTTTATTCTTGAAATTTTTGATGCTTGTGATTATTGTTGTTTTCATAAAGGTTTTCCTCGACTATTGAGTAACTTGAGTGCAATTTATTACATTTCACTAGGTACCTAACCTAAGTTATATTTGATATTAGTGTTGATATACGTATTCAGATTTGTAAAAAAAATTTTTTTTTCGAATCTCGGTTGAAAATGGAATGAGGGCGATGTAATTTGAAAGAATCAAAAACCAATATCATTTAAAGCACCTATATATAAAGGATAATAATGACAAAAATATGTCGAGTAAAATTGAAACAATTCGATAATGAATGGAAAAAAAAAAATTAAGAGTTTTATAAAATCCTTTGGAGAAAAAGGTTGGATCGCGATTGTAGAAAAAAAAAATCACTTTATGTATTACGAGTTTTTATATAATGAGTATTATACTTTAGCGTTTAACGTCAAAGCCGTTAAAATCCATTTGGGATTTCGTCAGTTCGCATATACGGTTCCGTATCGCTGTAAAATTACGATATAATATTATAATTATTACGTTTACCGTCAAGAATATATATTACAATTAGTATAACTCGTATTACATTATTTAGCAATAAACTTGGTGCTTTTTTTTTTCGCCCGCGATTAGTAGGTTTGAGTTTTTTTTCAAATCGTATTTCTTTTTTTTTTCTTTTTTTTTTTCTGCACGCTGCGCTTGGCAGTAGTAATGATTTTATAATGTGCCGGTACTACATACATTATTTATACAAATCTTCGTATATGAATATGATAATAAATCAATCGTATATACACCTATATATGCGTGTATACCACGTAGGTATGAACTAAACTCGTTAGGTACTTACTATTATAACTATATTATAATAACACACACACACACTTGAAAAGTAACTCGATAACTCATTGTATATGATAATAACGGAACAGTTACAAAAATATACTGTATGACTTTTGTACCTGTGCATGTACGGTCCTTTTTTGAACCGATGCGATAATAAATTATCGCACGCGGCTCGTAACGTATTATTATGTAGTATAAATATTATACGTGTTCGAGTATTTTATGGAACGTTATTATAATCACCCGTGTAAATTAGTTAGGTACCCAATGAAAAACTTGGCGAAATAAAATTTCGAAGGCAACCCGCCAATCGGTGATGGCACGGCGAAGATAATATACCGCCAGATGACTTACCTGTACTATAATTTCATATTCGAAACGCTTCTCCGATAGCATAAAAAAAAAAAATAGATTTACATGTTTCGCACGACGGGTGGGCCACTAGGCCACTGTTGTGGATGAGAACTTCGGAAGATAGATGGGAAATTATTAATGTGCCTCAGTACGCAATAGTTGATCATTGCTAACGAACAACAATCCTGAGTGAAGTTCGGTTGCACATGTTACATTGATAGGCCAAAATATTTACAATTTGAAAATAATATATCTCGTCAATTGTCCTCTTTTTTCCGAGTAGAAAAGAGTAATGAATTGTCTATCTATGACCTTTCTTTACTCCTCCGGTCTAAACTTTAAACTGTCATAACTTAAAAACGGAAAATCTGATATTAGCGTTATTCATACGTCTATATGTCTAGGTATGTACCTCGCTACGCTTAAAAAAAAATATCGAAAAAATTGTAAAATGTATACTCATCAGGGCTTGATTCGAGTTTGCCACCACTAGTAGGCTGTAGGTTGGGACGCGGGTGACATATTTCAAGAAGGCGTTACAAGACACGATAATCTTTATTTTATATTTTACTTGTCAACAAATTTTCGTTACCAGCCCTCCCTATAAATCAGTGGCCCTAGTTTGGTCCACCTAGGTAAAAAATCTTGATACCGTGGCTTACTGTGGTAATTAATTGAGTTAGTAAATTTGTTTGTAGTGCCTTCCATTTAACATTAGCCAATTGATGCCCAAGACTACTGCCTATTCAGCTTATTGGTTAATCAGGCCCTGATACGTACGTATGCGGCTAATCGTTTTCAAACAAAATCGATTATTGTTATTTTGTGATATTAGTATAACTATAAAAAAAAAATACACTATAAGCTATATTTTTTTTTTTTCTTCAGATTTGATCATTTTTTTTACAAATCGCCAACTATTTAGTGTTACGAAAACGTAGTAAATACATATGCAAAAACTGCTGGATTTTAAATA